TTGCTTTACGGCCAAGGTACATTCTGAAAAAATGGCCATAAAGCAAAAAACCATATAATGAATCAATAATTTTGATACAAACCCATGCAGATTTAACTGGATCTATTTCAATTTTTTTTATAAAATAATATAGTTCATAAAGCATTTTATTATTCCTATAAAAGTGCATACTTAAAAGTACAAAACAATGGAATAATAAACATAAATCTAAGAAACATATAAATTAAAATCAAAGAAATCGTATGTGCATGTTTATACATATAATAAAAAAGTGCTTAGAAACTTAATTTAAAGAAGAATATTAACACAAAGAATCACTTATATACTGCTATCCTCACTATCTGCTTTTGTGGATTGACCCAGTATTTAATCCGGTTTTAAATATTGGTGCAGAGTTGTCCGTTTTGCCTTGCTTTCCATCTCATTTAGCAGTGCTTTATGACAGTGATTGTGTTTACTCCTTAAGCCACTTCAGTGATACATTCCTCATTAGGATCATTTTGAAGAAGGATTTTCATTCCCTGCTCAAAATAAGAAAGTGCATTTGACAAGTTCTTTGCAGCTAACTGCTGGCACACAGCAGGCATTGTCTCTGACTTTTCATCATGTGCTCATTCTATTTCTAACTGGATTCAGTTCCTCATTTCTTCCAAATCCTCAAAACCGAGATCACTTCTTAAGCGTTAAAAGTTGCTGAACACTGGTAGCGTCTGAGGTTCAAATCCTGCGAACACTCTGGCTGCTTGGTCATTTTTGTGGTTTTCTTCATGTATAACATGTTACGAGTTAGTTTCCCTCAGAAAGTCCTCCCCAAAAATATTCCTTCTGTAGTTTTGAAAAAATCAGTAGCTAACTACATTTTTAGCATGATATTTGATAATGCAATTTTTTTCTCCTCTTCAAGTATGTATTATATGCATATACATTTTAGCCCCAAAATTAAAAAAAGTATAATTATTTAATATATTATATTCGATAATTATTAGAATTCATTGTAATAAAAATTATACAGTAAAATATTAAATAATTGTAATACCAATTATTATACAAAATATTTATTTATCACGTTTTATAATAAAATTATGTGTATATTGCAAAATTAAACTTTGAGAACACTCATATTTTTACCAATATGCAAAAAAGTATCAGGTTGCAACAACTTTTCTGCCACCACAAACAGTTCGCCTTGCGATGTTTAATCATATTTTGTCAAACAATTTTTGGCACTTGAAAGAGACTTGCTTTGGAACACTGTGCTGTGAAATTTGTTTAAAAAAAAAAAAAAAAAGAAAAAAGGTAAGTTATCATTAAGTATAAAGTGTCTGAAATGGAACTGTCATGCTGACAGATTTGAATCATCATTCACTTCAAGTTCTATTGTAAAAAGTCAGCCACAGAATGCCACCAAATCCTTTGTATAGCTTTAGGTACTAATGTTGTATATGACATTGTGAACGTTTGGTACCAAAAGTTCAAAATCAAGGACTGTAACTTAATTTAGAAGTCAAACAGTAAAAATCGGCATTATATTTTCATACTTTTGATTGACTTCTAAATTATTGTTTTCCATGTGATTTGTGTCTTAAATATAAGGACTATGACATTCAAGAAGCAGAGTGCTCTGGCCAGCCTGCTGATGTTAATGAGGCCTGCCTGCAAGAATTTGTGGAGGATCAGTATGGAACCACTCGAGAGCTTGCTAAGGAGTTAGATGTTAGCGCAATGTCTATTAGTTGCACTATGCATGCTTGACCTAAAAGTTCAATCGCTGGGTGCCGCATAAGCTAATTCAAGCAGATAAGGATGAACTTGTCTGGGCCTGTGCTAATCTGCTTGAATATCATTGCAGAATTCTGAAGTGGATCGTCACCTGTGATAAAAAGTGGATTTACTTCAACAACACAGGCTAAAAAAAGGGTTGGTCTGAACACGGTGAACCTGTCAACAGCACCGCAAAGCGCAATTTGACTAACAAAAACATCATGTTTTGTATCCAGTTGAATTGCAGTGGTATTATCCACAAAGAATATCTGGAAAAAGGTATGACTCAGCCGTAAGGTGTACAGCGAGATGCTAGTCCGTGTTGATGCTGTTATCGAGGAAAAAATATCAAACTCTGTTCCGATGCAAAAAGGTAATGCTCCATCAAGATAATGCAAGACCACGTGTCTGCTTTCAGCTCCTGGACTCTGTACAGACGAATGGGATCTTTTGCCATGCCCACCATTATACCCCTGAATCACTCCTTCAGACTTATACCTTTTTTTCACACCTGCAGTGACATCTTGCTGGTGCTAACTTCCATTCTGCACAGAACGTCCAAAATTAGGTTGATTTGATTTTGGTCTCACGGCCACCAAGTTTCTAGGCCAAACTTTTCAAAAACTACCAAAACGTTGGCAGAAAATCACAAATTTGGGTGGTGATTACTATCCACACTAAAGGTTCTGCTTTCAATGCTTTTTTTCCTAACTTTATTATGAACATTTTTTATGGGAAACTTTCTATACGACCAGATATATAAAAGCACAAAATTAAACATAATTTAATCTAGCAGCTAATTACAACTTAGATTACTTAAAATTAATTTTCTATTTTTTTATATCTGTAGGGGAAAAAAAAGAATAGAAAAAAATCCCTACCACTTGATTCTTGTCCATGCACCCTATTTTGTCCATAAATCAGTCAGAGTGGTGCACACGTGCTTATGGTCTGGCACGGTTAAGCTGTATCAGTACAGTAAAGTTCTACAGGTACTCTTCTGTTATCAGACTGGATTCAGAAATGTATATATGTATGCATGGTTTCATGTATGTGCATGTGTGTACATAAACACACAAGACATATACACAGGTGTGTAATTGCATACATTCCTGAATCCGGTCCCAGTAGAAGAGTACGCGTACTCTACAATCTAGAGTACATGCGTGCCCATTAAGTCTAATTACTGTTCCTTTATTATAAACATCAATAATATTTTTAAAAATACTTACAGATTGTCTTAATGAAGTAAATTACCTTTGCTTATCTTTCACAGGTTCTAGTTAAAATGTAGAAATCAGTCACATTTATTATCAAGTCATATTACAGTAATAATTTTTTTTTTTTTTTTGTCAGAAGCATAATCTGTCATGACCAGATGCTTTTAAATCAGTTAAATTTTTTGTGAATGCTCCTTTAAAAATAATTTTTTTTGGGAATTCGGTTTTCGTGTGTAGTTCCTGCCGTTAATAAATTACAGACTTGAAGTTGGGTAAAAGTTTACAATTGGGTGCCCCTTTTTTTTGGTGATTCTTTTTTGACGCCAAGATCGGCACCAGGAAGGCACAATTTCTAGATGGCCGCTACACGAAACCAAAATAAAAAAACAAAGAATTGCACAAACTGTGTCCATGTACACATCGATATGTTTTCACTTAAAAAAAACATCCCAGAATTCCACAAACTAGACATTGTGTACTGCCTTAAATTTGTCCATGTACACATCTATCTATTTTCATTAAAAAAATCAGGAAGCTAAAACTATTATGGTAACCAGAAGTGAGGTTTCATTGCTAAAATTAAAAAAAAAAAAAAAAAAAAAAGTATTGCTAATTGAAGGGGCACTCAATGCTACACTAGAGTCAAGTTGGTCAGCTAATGGTAAGAAGAAAACCAATTATTCATGTAAAGCTTAAAAATGTTTTTAGTAAAGTTTCCACAAATTGTATTGTAGTGTTGTAACTGATTCCAAATTCTGTTTTGTCCATTAATGTATCTTGTAAATATTTCAAAGTTATGTAACATGCCATTCGTGCCAGAAACAGGGAAAAAAAAAAAAACATTTTCACAGTGAAACCAAAAGGAACACAAGCCTGTGAAATGATGGTAATTCTGCGTGTCACGTGTATTCATACTTTTATCACGTGCATGCTCAAAAATAAATCAGTAGTATATCTTTTTTGCCAGATGTTGAAACTTAGAAATTTGGGTAAATAGTAAGTGCTGAAAATAACTTTTGATGACTTATTAGATTGTTTAGTATTATTCATGCCAAATAAAAATATATTGTTTTGAAAAATTTGTAGCATGTTGGAGCCATCATACTACCAGCCATTTTTTTAAGATATATCAGTATATTCTTCAGTTTTTAGTTTACCTGCTGTTGCACTAGCTGATAAAATTATGCATCAAAATGGTTTCCATGAACTTTACCTTAATTGCTACTGTGAGAAGTCATACTAAGCTCAGAGCAACTTTTTGAATTGGGAAATATATAGAAGTAATATGTCAAAATTGCACTTAAAGGTTTTTTTAAAAAAGTGGAAGTGTAAAATTGTAAGCTCTTTTCCTGCACACTCTCAGTTTGCGATTCAGGTGAATATCAGTTTGAGAAGCAAAACAACAGTGAAGTGCTGAAATGACAGATGGTGGTCTAGGTGTTCATGAAGATCAGAAGGTTAATTTACTGCAAAGAATTTTGTTAATGATGAAATTCAGATGTCAGTATTGGTATTATTTAGCAGTAATAAAACCTAAAAACAAACTTTTAATTTTCTTAAAAGTGAAGAGGACTTTAAAATGTTAATCAGTTAATTTATTAGTATTTTTAAAAAGGAACTATAACTGAAAGATTGCATTAATAAATTGTAATTATCAAATGTATAATTCATATTTCACTTAGTGGAATAACTTGAATACTATGTTGGAACTATGCTTATTTGACTAAAGATATGCTATATTTTTAGTTGTCTCAGAATGGTGATACTGTTTTATGATTAGACATGTCATTTGATACAGGTCACATTCTAGGTCCCCTATTGAAAAAAATGCAAACAAAACTAACAGGAGCAGAGAATCCAGCACAAACAAGAATTCTCGTCAAAATAGAAACAACCGTTCTCGTTCACCTCGTGGCCGACGTACAAGAGCACCTACGAACAGACGCATATATGTGGCAAATATTCCTTATGACTGTAAGTGGACAACCGTGAAAGATTTATTTCGTGAGAAAGGTAAGTACTTTTTTGTGACTATCCTCCTGATGCCAGTCTTCTTTTTTATGTTAAATTTTTTATTAATAATTATAAGCCAAATTATTCTAGAATTTTATCATTTTCTTACTGTTTCAACTGACCTTTCAAACTGAGATGAAAAACATGTGCAAAAATGGTTGAAAATAACTTTTAGCTGAATGAAAGTTTTTGTTGAAATAGCAAAACAACCCATAATGTTTGGGAAAGTACCTTTCCCCCCTTGTTTTGATTGTGGACATTCGTAATAGAATTTTTGTTTTATTTCTAAGTATTTTTCAGCTTGATGAAAAAGCTCTGCATTTGAAATCTAAACAAAAAAACTATTTATTATAGCGGTCCCTAAGATCGAGTCGCTTATCAACTGAGATATTTCACCATGTGCTCTTATACTTCATAACATGTAACATGTCAGTTCATTTAGTAATTAAATTTTAGGGATCGCTATCTGTAACAAGGAAGTACCATACAAAAAACGCATGTTTAAATTGTTTCAAATGTCTGTTAGCTCAAATTTCAATCAAAACTTTCACTGAAATAGCTGAATAAATACCTACAAAAATGATTTTTTTTGGGATAAATATATAACCCTTTGAATTAGAAGAATAAAAAAGAAAAAGAAAAAAAAAAAAGTGAAATAATGGTGAATCTTTGAAATTGGGAAAAAAGAACATATATGAAAATGTCGAATCCCCAAGAAAGAAAAATATATACTTATTTGATACATATTTGTACATATTTACTGTGCATATACAGTCAAAAGTCGTTAATCCGGACTCATCGGGACTTTGGCGATTCCAGATTATAGATCATCAGTTTAAATCTGGTAAGATGGCATGCAAAAATTACAAAATTAAAAATATGAAACCGTAATTTATGAAATAAAGAACAATTATGATCTAAGGGTATCAAAATTTACAAAAAAAAAGCTTAATATTTATTTGTTTACTTTATTAAACATTTCTTTCAATGTAAGTTGCTTCGTTTCATGTGATAATACTTTCTCTTTAATCTATTAAACAGACATAATTTCTTGTTTAGTTACAAAGTTCCGCTGTTCAAGTCCTATAATTGCTGTCTTGAGAATACCGACTAATTTGTCAATGGAAATGTTTTCGTTTTCAATAACCTCTGGGTCACTTTCTTCACTATCCGAAGCGAATTAGAATTATAATGATGAGGAACTTGATTTAAATCATATCAAAGACTGAGTACATCAAGATGAAATACTACACTTAGTAAGGAATTATAACCCAAATAAAATAAAAACATCTGCCCTGAAGATAAGGATAGTGCTGACAGATCAACTTCCAATCCGCAGCATGAAATTGATAAATAGATTTCATATTTCAAAACATACTTTCGCTTTGTAGATACAAATACATATTAGTAAATTATATCGAAATTCTATTTGACATAATCGAAAGTTCAAGCTTACTTTTATAAAATTGCTCTAACAGTCTGCAAAAAAAAAGCCATCCAATTCGAAGATTAAGGAACAACGCAATCTGCAACATTAACTGATTTAGATAATTTTAGCTTACCTCCGTACACATTAACGCGCATGCGCACAAACATATTCGCAGCCGTAAAGGTCTTACGCGCACTCGTAAAACGCCTGGGCACAGAAAGTTTGTAGCTCTGAGGTCCGGATTATGGGTGTCCGAATTAACGACTTTTGACTGTGTATCGCTTTCCAAGGTTGAAATATACATGTACTGTAATTATAAACTATCAGATAAATTAGAATTAAAAATAATTTTTTTTTTTTTTTTTTTTTTTTTTTTTTTTTTTTTTTGTAGCAGCTATGAAATCTGTAAAAAAAGGTCAATGAAATTCATAGTGCAAACAGTACAATAGTTGAAAATAAGCAAAATTTGAATTAGGCAGTGTATTTTATTAAATTAATAAAAAGTGGTTGAAAATATCGATCTTTGTTAACTTTCGTGAGTGAGTAATTTTAATTTATCTTAAAAACCTTGCAAAACCACCTCTTACCATATTAGAGATCATTCCTGCTTCAAGATATTTCTTTGATTCTACTCTTCTCTTTCAGTATGCTAAAAATTTTAGATTTCTTTTTTGTTTATTTCAGTTGGTGATGTTTCATATGTTGAACTTTTTGAGGATGAGAATGGCAAGTTTAGAGGATGTGGGTAAGTATTGATATGTCTGATTTAAAAGAATGTTGTTTTTAGTCATGTATAGCATGCATGTTTCCTGCAATATAGAAAGAAAATCATACTATGGTAGTCTTCTGCATAATCAGTATTAATCAAAAGTGGGGTGGGTAAAAAATATTTCTGATTTTTGTTAGATTCCCACTGTGAATAAATACCTATCTTAATTTTCTGTGTTTTTGTAAAGAATTTTTGAATCCTTGAGTTAGTTTGGCCCATGTTGTTCGAGAAGACAAAAGAAATCAAATGAAATATCGCTTCGATTGAATGTAAAAGGAAGCTTGCTTTTCAACGGATTTGGTTTGGTTTCATTATGGCAAAGCACTCAAGGGATGTCTGCTAAGGGTAGAGATGCTTTCATTGAGGACTTTCCGAGGGAGACTGCCTGATATACATGCATTCTAACTGGAAGACCATAAATTTTAATTCTGGTGCAGAATATCATGTCATATAATAAAAGGAGAATAAAAAAAAAATGTTCTGCTGAGCCGGTTGAAGAGTGGTTTAAGGATTTATTGACCAAAATGGATGATCTAACAGGGTTGCCATGCTACCTGGAAAACTAGAAAAAGTCAGGGAATTCAAAAATTGACCAAAATAGTCAGAGAATTTAAGTAATTGAGAGATATTAATGAATAAATAATCCCACCTCTTTTCAAAAGGCTGTCTACCGTATTGACACCCTGAATTTCTGTTTGTGTAATAATAGAACATTTAAAAAATGAAGTTGATCCATAGCTGTTTACTTTAGATTCGGAATCAAAAGATATGTCGGGGGACAATTTAAGAATTTTTCTTTAACAATGTTTAAAACTTTCTTGCTAAAAAAAGTTACTTATTCAGGATGGTAAGAAGCATACGTGTGGCTCTTTTTTATGTAATTTACTAGCTTTACCAGCAGCTTCGCTCGCTTTGATGTCCTTAAATAAGTTTCAACTCCGCATGAATTTAAAAAATACACTCTCGTAAAATTTCAGTAAATACTGCCCTTCTTCAATACTTATAGGCTGCGGATATTTTGTATTTACACCTGACCAAACGGTTATTTTTAAAAATAAAGAACATTCGAGCACCTTAAAATGATAAAATGATAGTTCTTATAGAACACAGTAAAAGGTAAAATATATAAAATGTAATTGCAATTTTTCAAGGAACAATAACAGAAATATATAACATGGATGAATAGATCTTTAAAAAAATACGAAACAAAACATTAAATATGTCACAAAAGTCAAAATGTTGATAATAGTTTCAAGTTGTTAAGTTAATTAGAAGTCAAGTTATTAATTTTTAAATGATTTTCCAGGTGTATATCTGTGAACTTAGACCTTTTTGCCAACCCAACTGTCGGTCCACCAGATACCACCTACCCCCCCGGTAGCTTTCTAATCACATCCTGTCAACAAAGAGTTAACAAAAGTTACTTATTCAGGATGGTTCAGCAAGCGGAGTAATCTTTCATCTGCGATTAAGCTGGAAATAATTAAGCGACAAAAACAGCTCCACCACCATTGTTCCTATCATTCAGAGTGTGACACAAGTTTCTAAATTGGATAATTAGATCAAAAGTTATAATTTTTATCACCAATTTATTGGATCCACATGGGAAGACCTAAGGAAAAATCCCTAATGTCGTTAATTGAGTCTCATTCAAATTACCGTTTTCAGTGTTTTTAATTAATATCTCAGCTGATTCAAGTCGTATTTAAGATGAGAATGGTATCGATGGATTCCACTGAATTTTTGGAAATCGGGATACGTGTCTCGATATTCAACCAACCGCTGTTCCATAGATATTTGTGAAAAAATTGCCGCGTAGCCAAATCCCTTTAATAGGAAAAAACCCAACAAAGTAAGTGAAAAATGTAGGAGAAGAGTAGTTTTTAATTAATATCTTGGCTAATTAAAGTTGTACCAAGACACTTTATAGACTAACCTTTTCTAATATATCAAAAATATTTCTTGAAAATTTCATGATGATCGGTTTAGTAATTAAGGCGTGAAGCGTAACAAACACAGAAACTCACATTCCCATTTATAATATTAGTAAGGATGTACAGAAATTGTATTGCAATTTAAAAAAGTTAAATTTATACTCATAACATTTTTAAAAATATTAATTATAGAAAATTGTTAAATTTGAAATTTTTTTTAGTATTAGACATTTAAAATATTAAAAATTTGAGCATAATATTTTAAACAAAATGACAGTACAATAATAAAACTGTAATATCAATAGTAGGTTAGTAGTATCAAAATTTTCCTGCTATGTTTTACATCGTAAAATAAAATGTGCCTTTCTTACTTATATATCATTTGTGAATGGTCCCTTGAAAGACATACAAATGATGCTCCTTGTAATAGTTTTTGGATCCCAAATTTAAGTTATTGGTTTAAAACATTATGTAAGTATTTCCATTATGAGCATTGTGAAAGGATCTTGAGGAACATTAATTTTGAAATGGCATGATTTAGAACAGCTCTTTTTATGAGGAGATATTAGTTTTAAAATGGAAAGGGGAGTAACTCCTTTTTTTTTCCTCAATCCTGTCCTACTGTTGATGTAAAGAAATATATATGTATGAAATGCAAAGAAAATGTTTTATTAATATTAAACCAACTATTTTTTAGTTGAATATATCATATTAAATCTCTCATCTGAATATCTAATATTTATGTACATTTACAAAAAAATTGAATTTCTTGTATAAAAAACAATTTCTATTCCTGTGGATATTATAAATATGAATTGTGTTTTTCCCAAGACAAGTGCAAGTCCTGTATTCCAAATTTTTTTTTTCTGAATGAATATTTATATTTAAATAACATTTATTTCTTATACTTGTCCATTCATTAAATGTAAGACTAACATTTTCACCATTTACTTTTAATTGTATTAACTCTTGTTTCGGAGAACTGCGAACACCATTACTGTAGTTTATAACAGTTCTTCTTATAGTGTTAATTGATGTTGTTAGATTTTTAAAACCTCTGGCATTTAGTGATTTTCTTAATTCAGTAGAAGTGCAAAACACTCGAAATGGCAAACTATCTAATGCTGTGATTTTACTTATAATTTCATCCAAATTATCTTTTTTTTTTTTATCAAAATAATCTAAAATCACTGATATCCTGGGCTTAGAAACTGTTCTTAAATTGTATCTTCATCGCAATTAGAATTCTTTCCTCTTTAACAAATTTGTATTATGTTTCGTTTTTAAATGTGCATAGAGTCCGTTTGTACCTCCTCCATGCACTTTAATTACACTTGAATATTTTTTACATTGTGCCACCATATTCTTTTTATCATATAAATAATGAAACCAAATCAAAGTGTTATCAACAGATTTTTTTTAACTAAAATTGTTTAAAGTTATTCATTATTATGGGCTTTATTGAGTATATAATAAATCTGAAAAATATTTTGAACCCTAAAATATGATATGCAAAAACAAACATGCCAATTTAAGAAATATCAAAATATTATGCACTTTCTTCACAACTACAATTTTGTTTTCACAGATATGAATATCAGATGGCAAGTAAGACAATTTTGGCATGCCTCCTTGGAAGATTCACACAGGCATGAAAGTTTTCTGCGTTTTCACAGAATTCCGCTTTTTTGAATGTCGCCCGGGCTGTTTCTGAGATCGATGCAGAACCGTTGAGAAATCGCAACCGACAAATGTGTGTGTGTTGGGGGGGGTAAATGGAGGACATGCTCTCTCTCTTCCTCTTTTCTTTGTAAAAAAAACTTTACATCATGTCATCGTATAATATTACACCGGGTTAGCGATCAAACGCGGGCACCCCTTGTTGGCAAACTTTTTGAGTTTGCCTGAGCCGAGATCGCAAAATACGTTGTTTTAGCAACCGTCAAACGAGAGCTCTTCAATAATTTCAGTGATCGGTGCTGGTGCCATCTGTAGGACATGCGGATAACCACTTGCATTCTCCAGTGCACAAAACTATGTAAAAATTTAAGGAATGCTCATAATCTGTACATAGAAGAGCTAGAGATAGAAAAGGAGAAGCGAGAATCAAAAAAAAAAAAATTGAGACTAGCTCGCAAACGGAAATTAGAAAAGTTGGCTGCAAAAGTAGCAAAAAAGAAAGCTTTTTCCTTAAAAATTTTTAATCAGGATCGAGTGAGACTGAGGCAATATAGTTAGCTTTTTCCCTAAAATTTTTTAATCGCGATCCAGTGAGACTGAGGCAAAATAGTTATTTTTTGTATTCCTCTTTTAACTATATGTTATTTTGTAACTATATTATCTCATATGACTACTTTTTCTGGTGTTTTGTAAAGTACTGTTTATTGAGCTAAAAGCGAAGATAATTGAAAACTGTTTGTCATTGCCTGAAAATGAGCAGTAATATATAACATAAATATGTATATTAGTGTGTTTAATGTTGTGTACAGTATTCATGTATCAACTGTTAAATTAAGTTACATAAAGAACATCTTAAAGAGGTTAATTCGTTACAATCTCTTGGTGATTTATTGATTTTTTTTTAACAAGTGGAAGATAAAATTAATAGCAAAAATACTAAGTACAAGTACTAGTTTAATTATATGTATATGTTTAATACTTTTTATATTAAAAGTTTGATATTTTATTAAAATGTGTTTTTTTTAGGTCGCTCGTGCGCAATTAGTTTTTGTGTCCGTGCGTTGTTCAGCTTTTTTTGCCAACTTGCACTTTCATGCCTATTCACATGTTGTATCACTTCTCTAGACTGTATGATGCAACTTTGTATTCACAGTCTAATTATAATTAATTTCACCCATTAGGCCGACATAAAAAATATATATATACTATTTTGCTATGATGGCAGCCCCTGAACATAAAGTGGAGACAATTTAAAGAATTTCTAAGTACATACTGGAAAAACGGTATTTAAACTTGTGAATACCCATTATTACAATCCCTAGTTATACTCTTTTCTTTATGCTTCTTGCGACAGGAGGTTCCACACCAGGGTATTCTAGACAAAAATCACTCTGAACAATGGACTCGCATGTCACAAAGTGTAAATGAGAAAATGATTTTTGTTCAGTCACCATGTTCACAAATGCAGATGAAGAGCATTAATGTTACCTGTCGGCAACAGTGTGAGATTTGAGATTTTTTTCTTTTCTACCGACACATTATTTGATCAGAGTGGTTTTAAATCTGAATAATTATGATTTTTTGAAGGTTGATTTGGATGATTTGACTTTTGGAAACAACCTGTATGTTGGCTTTATATGCTTGAAATGCCTCCTTTTTTTGTGCTGTGAAATCTTATGTAATTTTAAATGTAGGCTTTTGTAGTTGATAACAAATAAGATACATGTTTTTAAAATTTCAGAGCAGAAATTTATTTTATTCATTTGTCTTTTTCATTGCCGATTGCTTTCTTTATATGCTTGATTGCTGAAATTTTCAAGTATCTGTCATTTTTGGGCTTTCCAGATAGTTAAGCTAAGATAGTTCCAGATTAAATTATATGATACTTTTTTCTGCTATGTAAGTTATTCTAAACTTGATTTAATTTTTTTATTTCCAGTATTGTGGAATTCAAGGAAGCTTCATCAGTACAAAAAGCAGTTGACTTACTACATAGATTTGAATTCAGAGGTCGTCAACTTGTTGTGAAAGAGGTAGGTATAGAAATGGAAACCAAATTTTCATTCTTTGATTGAACAAATACCTCATTGCATGTTTGTGTTTCTGTTCTGATATACTTCACATCTTTTCATGAAAATATCTTTTTAGGATTTTGATGTTGATAGGGACAAAACAGGCAAGCCACTTGGGCGGAGCCGAGGAGGTGGTGGCGGCATAAATTTGGAAAGAGAACGAGATGATTATGGTGGACTTGGAGGACTTGGAAATAACACTACTCCACAGTATAATACATATGGCTTAAGTCCACAGTTTTTAGATGCTTTGGGGATTACAGGGCCATTAACTTGCAGAGTATTTGTGGCTAATGTAAGTATGTTAGAAATTTTAGTAACTTCATGATAATAATAGGTCAAGTAGATGGTGGACAGGTAGAATTAAAATTAGTCAACTATTACTAAATATTTTGATGACTATGGAAAACTCGTTTATTTGAATTGTTTGAATTAACAAATTTTTATTATTACTTTTGCAGAATAATAATAAAATACTTTAGTTCTTTTTATTTGGGCCTTTTTAACTGGATATTGTTTTCTTTACATAATCTGCTGTTAAATTTGGAACTTGAGTTAAGGATATTATTAACTACTGCTTTATTTTGTAATTAGATTGCTTGCGAGTTTTCCACATTTATGAAGTTTCATCAATCTTTCTAATTCCAGTGATTTTGTTCTGTCTTAACTTCCTGGGGGATTAAATTAACTAAAAAGCTAATAACTGATCAGTTTATAAATGTGGAATTAGCATGTAAAGACTACATTGCAATTTTTTAAAGTGACACTGCTTAAATGCTCCTTCAATATATTAATTTTGTCCCTGTTTTCACGAAAAATTGCTGGTGCTATCATAGTGCTTACAAATTCTGCTTTATTTAAAATGTTTAAAAAGTGCTGCTAAAAAATTCCAATCTCGTATTCATCTGTCTCAAATTATGTCTCTTCATTTAGGATGAACTTTTTCTGGAGTTATAATACTTTTTATGACAGGTGGAGAGTTTAAAATAATAATTTCAGATTATAATTCTGTTAGGTTCTGTAGTTTTTGCTGACTTGTCTTCACTAGTATCTAAAGTAGAAACATGAGCAAAATTGCATGGAATCCTAAATTTCGTTCAAAGCCATAGTTTGTTTTTATGAACAAGGATATAAATTACTTGTAGTTTCTTTCTTGTAGTAAAGAAATGCTTAAAATTTTAGATCTATCTTCTACAGATTTGCAAGAAATGGATTATTTCCAAACAGTGGGATCTTATCATTGAAAATATGTGTTTTAATGGATACAATAATGTTCAATTGAATATGGCTGACCAAAATAATGTTAGATTGAAGAGTGACATGCAGGAAGATGCATACTGTTTAAATAGAGCTTTTGTGAAAATGGCCAAAATTTGTTTTAAGTTGTGTACATTAAGTACTGATTATTTATTAAATTAGAGGCTCTGTTATGCATCAAGGTTTTGCCAGGAACATTAGGTGCAATTTCTGTCACTTTCACGTTCAGTGGCATAGCACATAAGTACTAGAATATCTTTCTGAGCTCTTATTTTTAGGGCGAGAGTTTAATTTCTGTTTATTTTTGCTGAGTTGAGAAGTGGATACTTATTTATTAATGCAACTACTTTAGCTTAATTTGGGAATTTTTACAGAAGGAAGAGACAGTGACTTAAAATTAATTGCAAACATTTTTTACTTGCATGAATGTGTATATTTTACATTCTAATATAATAAGCCTATTTAACGTTTTGACCCAGATTTTCTCGTTCTTTTATGCAAGCTGCTTAAAGGTTTCTCCCGTAATATTGTCATTTTAAACATCTTGAAAATGGACTGTCCCGTGTTTTTGTTAGATTTACAGGAAACATGAAGAGCGGTTGCCGGGATTTTTGTCTTACTTTCATCTACAAGTGCCCCTCCAACCCTGATGACAATAGTTAATGAATGTTTTACGATAACGGCGACCTTGCACTGGTTCTAAAGTAATAAGAAATTTGTTACCAGTTAGAAAGTTATTGCAAGAGGAAATAAGAATTTCTGTTTTAGATGTTCTTTAAGAAATAATTAAAAAAATTACAAAAAGAATAAGCTTTTATTTATAACTCAAATAATTAATAAGTTATAAAGGAAAGTAATTTAACTATTGTTCTGCTCTCGGAAGGGATTCAGGAATGTATGTATGCACATCGTGTGCATGTGTCTGTGTATTTATGTGTGTGTAAACACATGTATACGTTAGTATATACATACATACATACGTTTTTTAATCCGATCCCGATAACAGAAGAGTATCGTAATTTATCATATAGATTAATAGGAATGAAAGATTAAATAATATTCTTTACAAAATTCATTTTCAAATTTATATCGTGAATAATAAAAAAATGTGGCACCTTTTATATATATTTTTGACATTGGAAATCGATTGCTTGATTTCGTTATTTAAGTGTTTGCACTTTTCTAATCCTTGATATAAATTGCACATGAATATTGTAAAGAAGCTTAATTAATCTCTTGTTCCCATTAAAATATGCCATAAATTATTTTTTTGCGTTTGGCTTATTAAAAATTTTATAAGTTTATTATGTTTAATATAGCTGTGTTCAATATACAAAATTTATTTAAAATAAGCTGTAAACTTATAGTACAGTTTTTGTACAAGCAAATAGGTTTAATATGTTATAAAACTTTAAATTTTAAAAATTTTTATTTTCTAATAACTCATTTTCAATAAAAAAATTTAATTGAAAAATCATTTTTCAAAAATGAATAATCATTTTTTCTTCCAATAAAGTAAATGAATAACAATGAATAATATTTATTTTTTACTTCCAATAAATGCCTCAAATAATCAAAAACATTTTCTGACTTTTAACCCAGAAATCAGAAGTTACGTCAAAAATGTCATACAAATTTCAATTAAAAGAATATTTTCCGCTTCCCTAGCGTGCCTTCGTGGTGTAGTGGTCAGCACACTGAACCATTGTCTCAAAGGTCCGTGGTTCGATTCCTGGCGAAGGCGGTTGCATATTTTTCATCTTTCCTGCTTCGAATTAACCTAATGACTAGAAGTGCCGCCCGAACGAAAAAGGTTGTGGATGATGATTCTCCGCACCCAGGATTTGGCGACTAGGTCTCCTAAAACCCTAGTCGCCCTTTAAAAAGGGGAGTATATAAGGTATTTCTCCCGCTTCCCTAGCGTGCCATCGTGGTGTAGTGGTCAGCACACTGACCGGTATTTCAGAGGTCCATAGATTGATTCCCAGCAAAGGCGGTTGCATACTTTTTCATCTTTCCTGCTTCCAATAAACCTAATGGCTCTACAAAGTTCTGACTTTTTTAGTTTGTCTTGCAAATGAAAATATGTGCAAAAATCATGGCAACATTAAATTTAAAAAATTTTTAAGGAATTTTATAAAACTTGTTTTACTGTATTGTATTATCATCCGCAATTAATATGTTTACAAAATTTGAACTCGATAGCTTATCAGCAAATAGTATAAAAATCATAGACGACCTTCTGTTCATAGTCACAAATACCATGAGTGAACTAAATATGTGCTACTTCTTTGCAGAAATATTATGCTGTTTGAAAGAGGTCATCAGAAGAAATTTCGCATATATTTTTAATTATTTATAAACTTATACTCGCTTATGACATTTGCTGTCATTTTGCAGCAATTATTTTATTTAAAACATTTTTTTTTGTCTCTCCCACACTTATGATCTTATCACCATTCTGATGAATCGAAGGCTCTGAAAATTTAACTTGATAAATAATTACCTTGAAAACACAACTGTTCTTATATGAGTAGAATTTATCGCCTGATGAAAAGGTTTTCTTAGATTGCTTTAGTAATCGGTAGTTTTATACCGCTTTTAGGTTCTTTTTTCTTAATTTTCAGTTGTTGCCCTACCACCAACCTCTTGAGAAGACTTTCTGCTCGCTGCATATTTAGAGTGCCCACATGCTGAACGGACACTATACATTTACAAACATTCATTCTTCTCCGGGATTTGAGCCAGACTCTTCGATGCGGCAGTCAACGAGGCTAACCACCATACCAGCTGGGCTGCAATTTTCAGTTGTTCATGAGTCCACTAAAAAGCTTTGCTGCTTAAAATGTCAATTGCTTAAAAATATTTGCAGTCTAAAGCAAATTTGATATTTACATGTTTTTACCTTAATATTGTTTTACAAAGATAGAATGATAGCTGTCAATACAGACGGGTTTAGTGTATTTAGATTACGGCGAAGCACGCAATTGTTTATTTGCCCAAGAGGAAGGAAACTTTCTAAGAGGATCTGACTTATATTCTCGTTCCACTTGTAAAAAAACAAGAAAACTTCCATGCAACCAGTTTGTTGGCCAGGATTTGAATCCATGTCGAGCTAGCTGTGCCTAGCGAGTTTAGATGCTTTGCCAGTGGGGATCCGGAGTCTTATTTTAAATCTTGTTTCGAAATCTTCTACCCTAATTTAGTGCGATAGTTGTCGTAGTTTGAGGTTTAGGGTTATTTAAATATAGCAAAGCATATGAGAGCTATTGGCCTTTGTGAAACCCTTTCTGTGGGAAACTGGGTTACACATGTAAAAAACCACGAAAACCAAACAGGAAATCCCATCCCTGAGAAATAGAACTGATTATTTTCTTTAATCTGAAATCTAACACACATAAAATAGAAAAAAGTGCTTTTCGGAGGAGCTGTGTTCAGTATACAAAATTTATTTAAAATAAGCTGTAAACTTATAGTACAGTTTTTGTACAAGCAAATAGTAGTTTAGCTATGCTTACTGCCCCAGTAGATCGAGTGCCTCACTGTCCGTGGAAAAAAAGAAAGTAGTTTAGCTTTCGAATGTAACTTAACATGCTGACCAGCATACAGAGCTTCACCCTGTATTATTCTTTATTAATTCATGGATCATCAGATATATTTTGCTTCTTCCAGTGCCAGTTACAAATCGTACAGCTGTTCTATAACATTTAAACTATATCATTAACGTTGCATATTGCTAAAATGTACTTGTTCTTTAAAGCCCTTGATCTGTTCTAAAAATACTACCGTGGAAGTTTCAGAAATGAAGTACAATTTGAAACTACTTAACATTTTCTATGCATATAAAAAAGTAAAACTGTTTAAAATGCATATCGTTTAATGCTTCCTGTTTTATTTGGAATAATATTTCAAAAATAAAACTCGTTTTGGTTACGACTCAAGCAATACTTAACAGGAATAAAGAGCCGTAGTTTGATCATGCATTCAATTTTCGCCGTTTTAATAAAAATCGTTATGATATTTAGGTTGGTAATTATA